AGAAGCAGAAAGTTAGCGGCCATCCAGGTCTTTATGTCTTTAAGACATTCCTGCAGTTTAACTAATTGGTGTGTGTTATCTGGCTTCATGGACAGATAGAGCTGGTTGTCATCAGCATAGCAGTGAAAATGTATGCTATGTCTTCTAATGATACTGCCTAAGGGAAGCATGTATAATGTAAACAGAATTGGTCCTAGTGAAAAAAAAATCATTAAACATGTGACATCATCTGACGTGATCAGAGCCAATAAGAGATCAATATACCGTAGTTCCCCATTTAAACGAGCAGTCCAACAATTTGAAGACATTTGCGTGACAGCCTGCAGTCAGGTGTCCGTTACTCTGTTCTCCTGGGAGCTGCATGGCATCTCAGGTGGCCTCTGTCGACTGGACATGGACAGCAGGGTGACCTTTGACCTTGGGCCTGATGATAAAGATGACATATTCTTGACCAGAGAGTATGTTTTATCCTCAGAATCGCAGTGGCAGCACAAAGTGCTCTTGGCCTTTTGCCGGAACTCCGTGGACACGTAGTAGATAATGAACGGGATGATGCAGCTGTTGAAGGTGCTCACCGCCAAGCTCACCATGTAGGGCATGTAGAGGTCCTCTCCATCTCCGTCCAGTGAGCTGTCAGCATAGATGAGGAGGAGGAGGATGTTGCTCGGCAGCAGAAACACGATGAAGACCAGCAGCACCAGTACCGTCACCCGGATGGCGTGACCGTAGAATTTTCCCCCGGCCAGCAAGGTGCGCAACACAGTGCTGTGGCAGTACAGGACGATGGCTAAGGGTAGCAGGAAGCAGGTGGCGAACAGGGTGGCGAAATACGGCAAGAAGTAGTTCTCATGCTCATCCTCTGGAAGCGCATCGTGGCAAGTGGTGATCTGCAGCGTGCTGACTTCGTAGGTCTGCCGTGACAGCAGCAGTGGCAGCATGGCAACCAGAACCACTGTCCACACCACCACTGACATACACAGAGACACCTGCTGGCTGCGCAGAGTCCTGGCGCGAAATGGGTGGACCAAAGCGATGTATCGGTCCAGGGACACAAAGGCCAGACACCACATGGAGCCGTACATGTTGCCGTAAAAGATCGCCATGACAAAGCGGCAAAAGGGCTCGCCGAGCTCCCAGTTGTTCCCCCGGAAGTGGTAGACGATCCGAAATGGCAACGCCATGAGTAGCAGGCAGTCGGCCACCGTCAGATTGATGAGCAGTGTGGTGGACGGCAGCTGTTTGGTCCGGAACACCAGAACCCAGAGAGCCAGCAAGTTGGAGGGCAGACCGACCACAAAGGCGAGCAGGTAGAGGATGGGCAGGTACAGGTTGGTGGCTGGAGCCTGGATCTCCTTCAGCTGCTTTTCCTTCAGAGTTGTCCCATTACAGGTAGGCCTGAGCCGGAAGGTCCGCAGACCTGCAGGGACACGACACACATCAGAGCGTAACAGGTCTCCCCTTAACCCGCTAAAACTGATGGGAGCGCGGGCACTCCCATTGGTTTTAGGTCAAACTTTAACCATTTAACCACTGGCTCAATTGCAAAATTCCAACTGTTCCTGAAAGCAGCAACTCTGCGCTTGCATTGCAAGTCGCAACATCCAAATCTCGGCAAATAACACAGAAAACAACAAAAACAAAACAATTTTAAAAAGATGGTAAAAAGAACTCAAGAACCCAGATGACTGATAAAATGTCTACAGCTCCATCACACTCACTCACTCTCTCTTCTCTCAGCCAACCTCTGTCTTTGCAGGGTTGCCTGAGGGTACCGTAATGACTCCAACTTTACTGAAAAAGTGAAGAGTCGCTGCTTTCAGGAACAGCTGGAATTCTTTCAATTGAGTTACAGATATAAAAAAAAAAATAAAAAAAAAACACCTGTCCGATGGCAGCGACAGGTTAGGCTTTGGAGCAGGAGTGGGGAACTCCAACCTCGAGGGCCGGTGTCCTGCAGATTTCAGATCTCGCCCTGATCAACAGACCAGAATCATATAATTAGTTCATTACCAGGCCTCTGGAGAACTTCAAGACATGTTGAGGTCATTTAGCCATTTAAATCAGCTGTGTTGGATCAAAGACACATCTGAAACCTGCAGGACACCGGCCCCTCCCCCCGTATAGGTATTTCTGCTGTAAAGTTTTAACATGGGTGTCTCTGGGGACTGACTCACTACTGTAGCCACGGCTAGACGACAGGGGAACTGCAGGTGCATTTTTAATTCCTGGAAAGTGAGTTTTGGTTTTCATTTTTATCAAGTGAAGAAGAAAATACAACTGTTAAAGCAGATGTTTACTAAAGACCAACACAGATTTCCTCCACTGGACAGAAATGCAGTTTGATGCTGAACTCTTCTTCCAGACTGTTAAAATAAAAGCTGACAAAGCTCACAGTGGAACAAATCAGTGAAATTCAATCACATGTGAAGACATTTAGACCGCTGTGGTATCCTGGCCTGTCTTCAGAATATCTGTGGTGTGGACACTGATCACCTCCAACACGCAGCCTTGTGTTCCTCCTACAGTTTGATAAATGCCAGTAAAGTTGTCAGACTTACAAATGTCTCCAACAGAGGAGGGAGATTTCCTTTGTACTGCTCAGCAAACAAGCAGGACTGACTGATATTTATCTTTAAGATGTATCAAAGGTTGGTATGAGTCAGTTGTCTGTGAAGGTTCTCAGTCATCCAGGTCATCGTAGTCAAAGGAGCTTGCAAAGAAAAGCGTCTGGACTTCTTTAAGTTACTTGAAGACGTTTCACCTCTCATCCGAGAAGCTTCCCCACTCCTGCTCCAAAGCCTAACCTGTCGCTGCCATCGGACAGGTGTTTTTTTTTTGTTTTTTTTAATATCTGTAACTCAATTGAAAGAATTCCAGCTGTTCCTGAAAGCAGCGACTCTTCACTTTTGCAGTAAAGTTGGAGTCATTACGGTACCCTCAGGCAACCCTGCATAGAGGTTGGCTGAGAGAAGAGAGAGTGAGTGAGTGTGATGGAGCTGTAGACATTTTATCAGTCATCTGGGTTCTTGAGTTCTTTTTACCATCTTTTTAAAATTGTTTTGTTTTTGTTGTTTTCTGTGTTATTTGCCGAGATTTGGATGTTGCGACTTGCAATGCAAGCGCAGAGTTGCTGCTTTCAGGAACAGTTGGAATTTTGCAATTGAGCCAGTGGTTAAATGGTTAAAGTTTGACCTAAAACCAATGGGAGTGCCCGCGCTCCCATCAGTTTTAGCGGGTTAAGGGGAGACCTGTTACGCTCTGATGTGTGTCGTGTCCCTGCAGGTCTGCGGACCTTCCGGCTCAGGCCTACCTGTAATGGGACAACTCTGAAGGAAAAGCAACTGAAGGAGATCCAGGCTCCAGCCACCAACCTGTACCTGCCCATCCTCTACCTGCTCGCCTTTGTGGTCGGTCTGCCCTCCAACTTGCTGGCTCTCTGGGTTCTGGTGTTCCGGACCAAACAGCTGCCGTCCACCACACTGCTCATCAATCTGACGGTGGCCGACTGCCTGCTACTCATGGCGTTGCCATTTCGGATCGTCTACCACTTCCAGGGGAACAACTGGGAGCTCGGTGAGCCCTTCTGCCGCTTTGTCATGGCGATCTTTTACGGCAACATGTACGGCTCCATGTGGTGTCTGGCCTTTGTGTCCCTGGACCTATCATGCGAAGGTATGCATGATAAGGTGGGGCCAGGTTTCACAATGAGCTCACCCGAAACCCTGGCTGATTGGGACCCACACCCAGTTTCACACCTTGGCTCTGGCGATTAGAGGATCATCAGGGGGTCCTTTTGTCCCTCTGTGGGGGGTTTCTCCCACTAGGTTTATATCTGGGACTCTCCACCATTTGACCTTAGAACTGAAGAAGCTTCTCGGATGAGAGGTGAAACGTCTTCAAGCAACTTAAAGAAGTCCAGACGCTTTTCTTTGCAAGCTCCTTTGACTACGATGACCTGGATGACTGAGAACCTTCACAGACATTGATTGGTATTGGTATTACACACATATACAGCCGGTCCTAACTGAAGGTCATTTAATAAACACAGCAGGTGTCTCTCCATGTCTGATGACCTCCCCTGGGGATCAATAAAGTATTCTAATTCAGTTTAATTTGAGAGGTTTGATTAAACATGTGAATTTTATAAAAGTGTCTTCAAATGCACACAAAGTATTTTCAGACTTTTAAGTTTGTAAATGTTTTTTCTCTGCTGTCTAAAGTGTCAGTAAATGATCGACCCTGAGGAGGAGGCACTGCTTCCCTCTGTAAACACTGTGCATCCTCACTCTGTTTAAATGCCCTCAGGTTCAGAAAGCTGCCAGTAAAAACTGTCAGCCTGCCTACGCGCTCATGGGAAGAAGAGAAGAAGACTCACGGATGGCCATAAAAGGACATTCATCTGTGGGGTGAGGAAGAGGAGGAGAGACGCTACAGTCGAACGCCAGCAGGCAGACGAAGAGCAGGAGAGTCCCAGTGAGCCCCCTCATTGTTTTTCTTCTTCTTCTTCACTGAGTCACAGCTGCAGCAGATGCTTTTCAGCTCACCTCAGACTAGTACTGACAGTACTCTCTCCCAGTATCAGCGGTACTGGTAGTATTGGTAGTAATGCTGTCAGCAGTAGTCCCGTCTGTGGTCTGAGGTGTTCTGTCTGATCTCAGAGCTGCTGTGCTGTCCCCTCCCCTGGTGATGCAATCCAAGTGTGTGTCTGTGTCTGGTATGTGTGCCTCTGTGAGGACCCGTGCGTGTCTTCCTCTTCTCACTTCAGGCTAGCTGGTTTTGTTTGTAGACTTTTAAAAACTGTTATGTCCTCAGAAGTATAGAAGTCCTGACGTACCTGCTTCCTACTACCTCCCCGCCATCCTCTCCACAACCCACACCCAATCAGAGCTCAGCGGGGCAAGCTGTGTTTCTACTCTGAAGCATTTTCCACTTTTACTGCGAAAAGAAAAAATACATTAAAAAACTGAAACAAGAAACTCTGAAAACTGAAAATCAAAAACAAAACTGAATAAACAACAAAACCTGTAAAACATGATGAGGCTTACCTGCACTTCTCTCACCTGGCCTCACACTGACGTCACACTCAGACGTGCAGCTCTGCTTCAGTCCTCAGAAACTAACTAGTGAGAAACTATCTCCATCTTCCCGAGCGGTTAGCAGCTGATAAGCAGACTTCCCGTCTGTGGCTGATGCAGAAGTTTAGGGCGTTGTTCATGTCCGACGCTCCACACGAGCTCAGGCTCAGATGGCCTCTGTGTGCCCTGCAGAGCACAGCAGGAACATCTGTAAGGAATCATAAAGCAGGAGCTTGAAGAAAATTAAAAATTCAGAGCAAGAAGAAAAGACGACAACACTGCACAAAATAAAACCTGAGAAGGGTCAAAGGTCACCTGCAAAAGAGCAAACTGGACTTTAGCTGCTCTGAAAGGAATCAGTGGCTCTCAGGTCACTAAAACAACCTCATGTACTGCATTTACCTGCACAGGTAAGAGTTTATACAGGAGTGAGATATTTCAGGACGACTGATCTCATCACAAACACTCATGAAGCTTCAGCAGGTCTGCTCCAAAGCAGGGCACCAGCAGCGCCACCTGTCTGATTTACCTGAAGCCACACACACACACACACACCTGTGAGCTGCTGTCGGTCAGTGTTACCTGATAGACTGAGCCCACCTGCATGTACTGACGGTGTCCAGCAGGGAGCGGTGCTGACCGCCTGCTGCTGCTCATTCACGTTGCACTGTTACCGTGTGTTCACACCGAACGCGATGGGCGCGTGAAAAAACGCCAAAACGCCCCTAACTTGACGCCTGCACATTCGCGACCTCTACGCGTGTCCAAGAAAAATCGCCCGCGCCCCAAAATATCA